TCCACCTCTCTTCACCCAGCCTCTTCCCTAGCCCCAAGATTTCCTCCCTTCTTCCTACACCTCACGCTTTCCTATTCCCCTCCCAATCTCTCAACTCTTTTTCATGCAAAGCAAATGTGTTACTCAGGAGGCTGAGACAAGAGAATCACTTGAACCTGGGAGGCGGAGGTTGCAGTGAGCCAAGATGGTGCCATTGTGCTCCAGCCTGGGCAACAGAGCGAGACTCCATCTCGAAAAAACTTCAAGAAGTTTCTTCATCTTGAAGACTAAACAAGGTCTGAAACTACTTCCAGTTTTTATATTCTATGGTTTTAGGTAATTACTGACAAATACTCCTTTATGACCAAAACTTTAGTCAGGCTCCTCCGAGTCCTCTGCATGACTATGCCCAACCTTGGGCTTCCCTCCCTGTCCTGGCAGCCAGGTTGAGGAGGTCTGGGCAAGAATCCTGTAAGTCGGTTTAGGGAAAATCCCCTGCATTTGGTATCTGACCCTGATGTCAGATCACCACAGCCTGCCTTCAGCCATAATCCTATCAAGTCGGTTGAGCTAGAAGCCTCTTATGCTGGAAGTTTTCTCTAATACTCTTCCGTCTGCTGATTCCTACCCTGCTCCTTGGTTATAAATCCCCACTTTTCCTTGTTGGAGCTGGATTTCCTCTTTTCCTCCTTGCAAGGCTCCACTGCTGTGGGCTCTATACTGATTGCCTGGGACCACCCCCGCTCTTTGAATTAAGTCTCCCTTATAGTCTTTAACGAGCGTCAGGAATAATTAATTTTTTTTTAACAATACTTGGACAAAACAAATATATAATCAAGATACCATTAGCTCTCAGTTATTCTAACGTCTTTGAGTTTTAGGTTTAAAGAAACTTAATTACTTGGTCACCACCCCCCCTATTTATTACATGCTCATCTGCAAAAAAATTATTCACAAGTTGAAGAAAGCTTTGCTTCTGCTACTAGCTTTTGTCCAGTCCCTCAAAGAACACAGTCTTTTAAAACTGTATATGAACAGAGGCTGAGTGTGGTGGCTCACGCCTGCAATCCCAGCACTTTGGGAGGCCAAGGCAGGCAGATCACCTGAGGTCAGGAGTTCGAGACCAGCCTAACCAACATGGAGAAACCCCAACTCTACTAAAAATACAAAATTAGCCAGGCGTGGTGGCACATGTCTGTAATCCCAGCTACTCAGGAGGCTGAGGCAGGAGAACCGCTTGAACCCGGAAGATGGAGGTTGCAGTGAGGCGAGACTGCGCCATCGCACTCCAGCCTGGGCAACAAGAGTGAAACTCGAACTCCAAAAGCAAAAAGACTCTATATGAATGGAGCAGAATCATCTTCCTCATAAGGGTACTAAGAAAACCATGAGGACTTTTTGTGGAGAGGAGGGATGCTTGTGTATTTTTTATCTTTCTTAATGAGCAAACCAAAGTGTCACTAACAATCCGTGATCAGAGATGAAACATCATCCCTAGCATCCTACTTTCATTTTCAGTTCTTTCAATGCCCCCACCAAAATATTAAAATAATTCCCAGATGTGGACACAACGAGGGGAAAATTGTATCAGAACACCAGATTCTGCCTACCCTTAACCTTACTTAATTCCCTAGTGAATAAAATCCAGATTGGTTTTTTTTTTTTACATCCATGCCAAAAGCTGTGTCCTGGCAGAGAGAGAGACAGTCGGCTCCTGCACATGCTATCCTGGCTTGGTTTGCTTCCTTTTATCAATTCTCTGATTCTCTGGAAAAAAGATTATCTATCCCCAAGGCCATTAAAGCATCTAACTAGGATAAACAGTGGTGAAGAGTTCCTGCCCATGAAAAACAATACCCCATTCTCAGACATTCCCTCTTAACTGATGTTAATAAGCAATTTTAAATGAAGGGAAGGGAAATGCTTAGTACTAACACATGGTAATTATCTATAATTCCTCATTTGTCATGCCACTGAATAGAAAAAAAATAAGTTGATGCCTTGCAATGACATCAAAATTAGGGTATTTGGTACAGTAACCTGACTAAATGGCATTATTTAAAAAGCAGGTTTCATCCCAATGACAATATATACTACAGATTATGGGAACTGTAATGAGATGAAATTTCCATGAGGCAGGACTCAAGAGAATAGGCAGTAGAGAGCTTTGGGATTATAGCCTAAAAGCTGAATCAGTGTGGCAGAGACATTATTTACTCATGTTTAATGTAAAATTCAGTGATTCTACATCAGCATTGAAGTAAAAGGACAAAAAAATAGACTTCCTAGCCTTTAGGTAGGTTTTTTTTTTGGCAGGTTAACAGAACTATATTGCTAGCATTTCAGAGGTCACTTAAAATCAATAGTCCTTGTTTTACAAATAAGAAAAAAGAAAACCCAGAGGAGGTATCACAGCTGTCAGCAAAGCCCACAGGCCTCAGGTACAGTGGTGGAGAACAGGGGGTGGGGTCCTATAAAGACCACTGTTTTTTATCTTACTTATAATCTTATCTTCAATCTTGACCAGTAATCAACATTTCCCTTAATCAACAAATCTGTCTTTATCCCTCTTGGTATCAATAAGTAATCCTTGAGCATCTACTGTGTGTTAAATGCTGGGGTTACTACAATAACTAAGATACACCTAGCAGAGAAGGAACACTTTTACTTAATGTCTCAGCAATAATACAATTTATTGTGTTTTAAAAATTCCTTTAATCTTCACAAGTGTGAGTGATTTTACACAAGTATGCATGCAGGTGTGAAGTAGATGTGTGCACAGAATATTAATATGTATTTCCTCGAAATGGTTAGCTGTCCAGTCCTGAAGCTGTAATTGTAATTGCTAATAAGCAGCACCAACTGGCCTAGTGGCAATAACAGAAAATGATAATATTGGGTTTAGAGTTATAGATGGACTAGGAAGGAAGATGGGCGCTGGGGTTACCGATGGATAACAAAAAAGGGGAAGTGATCAAGACCGTTCCCCATCTGATCCCCCAAAGTGGCCCTAGGTCAAGGATCTCAGCCCCGCCTGGGGCAGTGGCCGGAATATGAATGCCCTTGGCATGTGGTCACTGGAAAGCTTATGCTGGATTTGCCCTAGAACAATTAAGTAGCACTAGGAGCCACTTGCTTTTTGCTTTAACAAATGATGAACTAACTAACTTGAAAAGAGATAAATAAACTTATTTTTATTTTAGTTCTCTTGAAAGTTACTTCTATTAATAACAATGTACTTCCAATCTATTCCAGGGAAAATAGGAGAAAATCTGAAAATAATTAGCTTACTAGTAATTTTTAATTTATATAACTTTTCTTGAAATCGAAAATGTAAAAGTCCACTCAAAACACAGTATGAACTGACTTAAGACAAGTTAGTACTTCAGAAAAATGCCTGCTTCTTTTGATAACTATAAGGAACTTCTAGTAGTAGAGAGCTAGGTACTCCCTACTTCCAAACACCTAGTAGATTCTCAGCCCAAATTCTGCCAAGGATAAGCAATTGCACAGGCACAAAAAACAGATGCTCTGTCCTTTTCCAGAATTCCTCTTTTTATTCTCAGGTACTTAAACACTATACAAATTCACTATGAGGGGCACACAACATTTTCAGGGCAAGACAAGCAAATCTTACAGTCAATTAGAGAATGAAACCTTCTGAGAAGTGGGGAAGCACAGAGCTCTCACACTGCTCTGAAGGTGTCAGGGATGCTAGGCTTGGCAGATCCTCATTCCTCTCTCATGCAACGGTGGTGGGGCTCTAACCATTCATTTACTAATAAAAAAATATTCTTTAACATCTTTAAAGAAATCCTTTAGGACTGTATTTGAAGAGTTTAGGAAACCAACCTTGGAGAATACATTCCTAACAATATATCTCATATGAAAACACACACAGGGAATTAATTTATGTATACACATACATGACACTGTGTACTTATCAGTATTCTCAGAATTCATTACCATATACATAATCCTTTGGAAATCCAAAAGGAAATTCCTTTTTTTTGGAGGCACAGTCTTGCTCTGCTCCCAGGCTGGAGTGCAGTGGCATCATCTTGGCTCACTGCAACCTCTGCCTCCCGAGTGCAAGTGATTCTCCCACCTCAGCCCACCGAGTAACTAGAATTACAGGTTTGTACCACCACACCCAGCTAATTTTTGTATTTTTAGTAGAGTCAGGGTTTCACCATGTTGGCCAGGCTGGTCTTGAACTCCTGACCTCAAGTGATCCACCTGTCTCGGCCTCCCAAAGTGCTGGGATTACAGGCATGAGCCACCACACCTGGTGGGAAACTCCATTGTTAGCTCTAACTATTTACTGTTACTTTACCAGGCAAATTTTCTCTTCTAAATTTAAATTATTGGGAACTATGAAATAAAATAAAACTTGTTGAAATTTTGCAAAATTGGTTTTGTTCATTCTTCTCTATTAGATAACTGTCTATTAGACCAACTGTTAATCATATTGCAACTGTTTATATTTTTAGGACATCACAGTCAACACATAAGACTATTTCTAAGTTCCTCACCAAAGATGACCATATTTTCCTTGGGTTATCACTTGTGAGTATAAACATTATACTAGTATTTCACTTCATTTTAAACTTTTGACAAACTCAAAATTATGTTAGCAATGTTAAAATCATGATTCAAAATAAGACTTTTTAAAGAATCAGGGTGTTCTCTAAGGCTTGACCGTTGCAAATCATTTTGATAATAATTGGAAAACTGGTATTTATTATACTTTACCACATGATGTTCATCTCTAAAATAAGAGCATCACAACCATTTGTTCCCATTTTAGAGATGAGAAACATTTCAATTCAGAGGAGTTAAGTGAGTTGGCCAAAATTACAGCAGTACACAGGATTTGACGTAAAGTCTACCAGGCTCCATATCCCAAACATTTGTTTTAAATCTGTTACTATACCCAAGCCTCTAAACAAATTAAACTGCTAACTATGAAACTCAAAACAACAAAATCACACAAACATGCCACATATCCTATTTCATACCTTTAATCCTCTGAAACTTCTTGGACTAGTTGGAGAGGAACTGGAGGATTTTGTAGATTTAGGAGTAGAAAGTTGGCTGCTGGGAGTTCCATTAACTGACCATGAGATAACAGAGAAGACAGAAGTCCCATTAAAACCCATGACAACCGGACTGTATAAATACACCAGGTGCATGCACAATATAGCTCCAATGAAGCTTCAACTCATTTACAGCTCCAAGCAGATGGCAAATCAGCAAAAAGCAAAAATAATGTATCTTTCTGCATTACAGACAAAAAAACCAAAGAATGAAACTAGAATTATTTTCAATAGTAGTTTTCCGACAGTGATATAAACAAATATATAAGACTTTATGGAATTAGTGATGTGAACAAGAACTTGTCCATGTATCCTGCCTGCCAGCAAAGGTAGAGATGGCTGTTATATTGGCAATGGTTTACTATGAAGGCTGTTCCATAGCCTTCAATATCGACTAGCTAGGTGTAGAACCTGGATAACCAAGAAGTTTGTGTGGTTCTCCCAAATCAATTACACCATAATACAAACACATTTTCTAAGTATATTCTTAATGAAAAGGGAAAATTACTGGTAGTTTTCCTTGTAATTCCTACTTATTTGCTCAAAGTCCATGAAAAACATTCTTCAACCTTTTTTTTTCTTAATCTAGACTACTTATTTCTAATTCCTTCCATTTTCTTTTCTTCACACCTTATCCTCCCCATTTGTTAGCAAATCTTGGTAGTTTTCTATACATCTGCTCTAAATCTCCATACACTGCTTCAGTTGAAAGCTCGATTTAGATCCTATGCTAGAATTATATAGTGCAGAATCTGCAAATGAACCTTTCCCCCAGGAAATTAAATTTGGAAATTTAAAAATAATTGAAAAAAGTTTTAATTTTTTGAAAACTTTGAAACTTCTCCTCCTAGAAAAGTTCATTTGCAGATTCTGTACTATAGAATTCTGGTCAAACATTTCAGCATGACTTATGCTTATGCCTGATGGTATCATTTGAATTTATTTCTGCAGTAATTTCACAAAGCTAGTAGTTGATATATCTACTACTAGATATCATACATCTAGTATTGATATATGCTTTTCTCCTCTAAATAGAGCATTTATCATGTTTTATTATAACTCTTCAAAGCTTTTGCCCAAAGTAGATGAAAAGTGTCGTTCATCTTTTTGAACAGAAAAGAGACGCTCATTTGCTTTTTATTCTTTTTTTAAAAAACACAAGGGAGCAGACAACTATTATTTTAAATCACACTAATAAGCATAAAAAGCCAAAAGTACAGGTAAAGGTCCTGAATAGGTGACTCAAAATAAATGAGTACCAGTCCTTGAGCAGAGGCAGAAATTGTTGATCAATGAGTACTAATGATTAGAAGCATCATTTGTAAACAGGAATATCTGGGTTTATGAAATCACATTTAATGTATTGCTCAATTTAAAATTTCAGTACAAATAAAAACTTCTTTCAGTTATTTTTAAATTTCCAAAATGTAAATTTTTCTGACTCAAAACCCTCATTCAAAAATAATGGTCAGTGATCCAGATTTTATTAACAAATACATGTGGGTACTTAGAATACAAGTGTAGCACCATTAACTGTACAGTTAATAAAAAACATTAAAGAGTATTCAACAGCACTTATTATTTCTCAATCAAGCTAAATTTTAAATAATGTTATTTTCTTCAATTAACTCTCTAAAGAAGATTCTTCTGTTAAAAAACTTCTTCAAATGGTAGAGCACAAAGAATTTTTAGGGCAGTGAGACTACTCTGTATGATACTGTAATGGTGAATATATGTCATTATAAACTTGTCTGAACCCATAAAGCATACAACACCAGAGTGAACCTCAATGTAAACTATGGACCTTTGGCACTAAGGGGATTTCAATGCAGGTTTATCAATTGCAACAAATGCAGCACTCTAACGGGGGATGTGGATGATGAAGAAATTACACAAATCTGCAGGCAAGGAGGTACACAGGAAATGTGTACCTTTGGCTGTGAACCTAAAACTGTTCTAAAAATAGAGTCTTTAAAAATATCTTTTTCAACAGAATTTACACAAAATAGAGATTATTGGCAATAAATTAGTAAGCTGGCTTTGAGCTGAGACTAAATTTTCCTCTTTTTTTTTTTTTTGGTATTTTCTCCATCTCACACAGCAACCTGCACAGGTCACCAGCTCCTAATCAGTAAGCACTGTCAGTGTTCACTGCTATTCTAACGCCACACTGATAGCAAAACGCTACCTTGGAATAGGAAAGGGATTGAAGGAGAAAAAGCAGTTCCACAGATGGCGATCTCTGCAGCACATCAGTCTCCCTAAAATACACCCCACTGGCTAGGCCTAGTTTCTTAACAAAACTCACTGCCAGGGGTTTAACTGGTGTCAGTAACTACATGTGTGTATTTTCACCAAAATAACTCATCCTAAAGAGACACTAATCACATATAGTCCTCTAAGTTTTTATAGCATTTGAAGATTCTAAACAATGCTCTTGAATGAGTTCTTAATTTCACATTTCTCCAGTTCTGGGGAGGCTAATGGGGATTCTGGACAGCACCACATCATACCCTCTCCCCCTGCCACCAGCAGCCAGCACCTGCACCATGCTTCCTCTCTTCCACTGCAACCCTGGATTTTCTCTTCTGAAATTTTATTCTCCTCCCCTCAACTCTAAGGAAAGAAATAAACTTGGGGGCTCTTTTTGTTTTCTCTGAATATTTTTTTATCTTGGCAGACTATGAAAGATTCACAAGCTAAAATCCTAAAGTAATGGCCAGGCACGGTGGCTCATGTCTGTAATCCTAGCACTTTGGAAGGCTGAGGCAAGTGGATCACTTGAGACCAGGAGTTTGAGACCAGCCTGGCCACCACCGTGAAACCTCGTCTCTACTGAAAATACAAAAATTAGCCAGGTATAGTGATGCGTCCGCATGCCTGTAGTCTCAGCTACTCAGGAGGCTAAGGCACAAGAATCGCTTGAGCAGGGAGGCAGAGGTTGCCATGAGCCGAGATCACGCCACTGTACTCCAGTCTGGGCAACAATAACCATTCACTCATTTACTTATTATATCTAGCTTTATGTTTATGTGTTTTTTTAAACATACTCTTTTGCTATTTTGATAGAGTTTTGTTGAAAGATTTAGTCAACCAGAAGACTTCATTCACTCAAAGCAGTCTCAAAACTTCCCTTGGGACTCCCGTCCCAAGGTTGAAAAGGTACAGTATTATGTTCATCAAGTTACCAGTTCTGTTTGAATTCCAATTAATCCCATGGAATTTTTTAAATGGCAACAAATATACCATAGCTATAATCTCTAAAACCACCCCAGGGTACCATGGCTTTTAATAAGACAAAATTCTCTCCTTCCTGTTAGAAAGTGGCAAGAACATGCTATATAGCACTACACAGATAAAAATATTTTTTCAGGTTTACTCAGGTCCCAGTAGTTGACTCAGGCTTCTGGTTTTGTATAGCTGAAATGTTAAACACAGTTTGAATTAATCTCTTGTAATGAAGATCATTTTCTCTCTAACATGTGATTTTAAAATTTTACAACTTATACTTGATGAGTTTCAGACTTACTCTATTAACTCAAATCCAAATTTGGACTTAACTGAAAATTTTGTGTATTAGAATGCTACAATTTTCCTTAGTCAGTTTCTAAGTATTATAAATTCAACTTCAGAGTTATGTATACATTTATTAGGCTATCTTCTGGAACTAATGGTCTGTAGGACAAATGTGGCTATGAAACTGTTTTTTAGTTTAATATGTTAATTTTTCTCTTTGGACCTCAGGGGGACAAAACTGAATTATCATACCTGATTCTTTTTCTTTTTTTTTTTTTTGAGACAGAGTTTCACTCTTGTTACCCAGGCTGGAGTGCAATGGCACGATCTCGGCTCGCTGCAACTTCCGCCTCCTGGGTTCAGGCAATTCTCCTGCCTCAGCCTCCTGAGTAGCTGGGATTACAGGCACATGCCACCATAGCCAGCTAATTTTTTGTATTTTTAGTAGAGATGGGGTTTCACCATGTTGACCAGGATGGTCTCGATCTCTTGACCTCGTGATCCACCCGCCTCGGCCTCCCAAAGTGCTGGGATTACAGGCTTGAGCCACTGCACCCGGCCTATCATACCTGATTCTTGAACCACTCTCCCTTTCATTAAAATTTTTTTTTAAAGAGACAGGGCCTTCCTACATTACCGAAGCTAGAGTGCAGTGACTATTCACAGGCATTATCATCATAGCTCATTACAGCCTCAAACTCCTGGCCTCAAGGGATCCTCCTGCCTCAGCTTCAGAGTAGCTGGGACCACAGGTGTTACCTCCTTGTGCAGCTACTTAATCGCTTTTACTGATGTAATAAGCACCTGTAAAGCTGTCACCAAAACTACGTCTACCCTTTGATTAGCCTAGGTCAATGTATTTATGCAAGTCCCATATTATATATATATTAGCTTTCTCAGTTTTAAGATACTTTACAGAAAACATGGTACAATTTGAAATAAGGTTAATGGAAGAGATATCTTCAGATAAAAATACTCATATTGTCAGCTGTCACATTTTTAGAGCGAATAGGTTGAGTCTATAACTCGAGGAAAATAAATATTTGACAACTAGAAATATTAGTGTTGCCTCCCTGTATGTACAAGAAACACCTCATAATCCTACTCTGGCATATGTTATTATGAAGTACTTCCAATTCTAAGATTTCAGTGTCCTAAACTGTTAACCCCAGGGTGGGGAGGGGATGAGCATAGAAGAGCAAAATTGCTTCTATGGCCATTTTCATATTACCAAAAAGTTAAGCCTTTTTCAGTAACACATTTCCCAAAATTAACTGGAAGATGGACCCCTTGAGGTGATACGTTTCCTCAACCACTTTGTGTTCCTGACTATACAGACAGGCACTTGGTAATCTTCTGATGGAAACTGGTTCTCTAATAAATAGAGAAGACTAAAGTGTCCTATGCAATGCAAAGCATTTCAAACCACACAGATGTGCACTGGAATAAGCCAGATACATTCATGGAAATGAAGCAAAAGGAAACAGAAAAGTGGCAAAAAAACAAAAACAAAAACCCAGCAGAGCAACAAAGCCACAGTAGTCATGGCTCACCTGGGGATTTGGCTGTAGAATAGGCACTGGAGTAGTGGCCACCCCGCTTTACTGTACACATGCAGTATACACAGAGCAGAAGACAGTAAGGAGAGTGGTTATTCAGCAGCTCTAAATGCGTGTACAAAATGGGTAAAACAACCTGCCCTACAGAAAGGAGCGGGGGAGGGGGTGCTTAAAGGGGACAGAGCAAATAGTGGAATGTCTGAAAAACTTGGTATTTTATAAAGTCTGATGTTCAAGACCATTGTTACTGATACCATGTTTTTTTTTTTTTTTTGAGACAGAGTCTTGCTCTGTTACCCAGGCTGGAGTACAGTGGTGCAATCTCAGCTCACTACAACCTCTGCCTCCCAGGTTCAAGCAATTCTCCTGCTTCAGCCTCCCGAGTAGCTGGGACTACAGGCACGTGCCACCATGCCTGGCTAATTTTTTGTATTTTTAGTTGAGATGGGGTTTCACCATGTTAGCTAGGATGGTCTCAATCTCCTGACCTCATGATCTGCCAGCCTCGGCCTCCCAAAGTGCTGGGATTACAGGCGTGAGCCACCACACCCAGCCCAACAGACTTAATTACTATAAACATACCCATAAGATATCAATATATTATTTATGGATGTTTTTAATTTTTAAAAATGTGCAGTCAAAATTATGACAAATTTATAGGCTTAGGACCTTCAAGAAAATTAATTATAGGTAAGTCTGACTCTTAAATAAACAAAGTACTACTTTTTAACAATAATCATTGCTATGATTGTAGCTCGTGATGAAGGAGGACCCAGTGGAAATGTATCAAGTAAATACATTTTTGGGTAGAGTGTGTGCATGTGTTTTAAAAAAATAAGAGGTAATGTTAAGAAAATAATTATCCACAATCATAACCACAAAATTCAAAATGCAGTATACAGAGGTCAAAATGTGAAACACTTCTACGCAAATACCAGCAGAATTTAGATCATCAGGCTGTTCTCAAGAAAATGTGTCAGAACAAAACCACACAATTCTCTTAGGAGAATTATTACAACTTGGGGAAACAGACTTAACTTTTGGTTTTAAAAGTCATGTCATCTCTGTTTTTCTCTAACCTGGCTACATACGAGCCTGGCAAAGACTACTAATTCATAAAAGTGAGAGAAAACATAAGGAAAATGATCTGTTCCTTCTATGGCCATCTATTCCTTTTCCATTAACTACCTGAAGCTGGTGATTTGCTGCGTCGAGAGGGCCCAGGGCTTTTGGATCCAGAATATTTAACAGCTGAAGATCGAGAATAAGATGACTTCAGGACACGGCATTCTAGAAAGAAACAAAAGTGTATTAACTTAATCTGGTTTTAATAACAACCAAAAGCAGATTTACAAGTAATTGTTTACTGATCAGAACCATTACCTGATAATTCCTCTATTGCTGTTAAACAAATGAACATACAAAGCAATTGTCCCAAAATTACACCTGAGTTTACCTTCAGCCTACAGATCTTGGGACTTTGCCTCATTGTTCCAGATGGAGCTAATTAAGTACAGAAATGCCAATGTCCTAACCTGAAACACACAAACATCCACAGCCTAATCTATACCTGTGCAACTATCTTCGTAGTAGCACTGAAGGCAAAGACTACAATTTTATTATGCTCTCCAACTTCTTGATTATCTTATATTAAAAGGGTATGGGACTCTAATTTATGAACCCCTTCCTGAATTACTTTCCATCTTCTCAAAGTATAGAACATCATAAACCAGGAAAATAACTTTCCCTTTTTTTTTTTTTTTTGAGATGGAGTTTGGCTCTATCACCCAAGCAAGAGTATAGTGGTGCGATCTCGGCTCACTGCAACCTCTGCATCCTGGGTTCAAGTGATACTCCTGGCTAAACCTCCCGAGTAGCTGGGACTACAGGCACCCACCACACCCAGCTAGTGTTCTCTATTATTAGTAAAGACAGGGGTTTCACCATGCTGGCCAGGCTGGTCTAGAACTCCTAACCTTAGGTGATTCACTTGCCTCAGCCTTCCAAAATGCTGGGATTTACAGGTGTGAGCCACCATGCCTGGCTGAGGAAAATAGCTTTAAACAATAACTGTTCTTTCCATAAATCACCAACTAAAATAATATTTAGAGTACCAGAAGTAATTATAGCTAAAGTAATCACTTCTAATTCAAATAATGAAGAACATGAGTTTTGGAGTTGTACAGATTTTGGATGAATGGATTTGACATTTGTTAACTAGGGGGCCTTTGTTCTAACCCTCAGGGGTTCTTTTCTCAAAGAAATGGGTAAGAATAAAATTTGTATCACAGACTTGTTATAAGGGTTAAATTAGATAACATGCTGTCTGTAGTTTACTCTAAAATACTTCAATTTATGCAAGAAATTTAAAATGTGGATTAATTTTAGTTTATACCTCAGGGACAGTAAACTGACAAGTACATTAATCAGGAAAATACACCCAAGGGGAGGCTAGTCAGCATTTGAAAGACTAATCAAAACCTTAGACAAAGGTAGCCACTTTTTCTTAATTAGCATTGTGGATATTAAAAGTATCCAACTGTTTAAATGTGTGCATAGTTTATTAGAAACATCTTAAATGCAGTGCTACTATTTTATACAAGCAGGATACATAAATATCAAGAGCCAGCAACCTAGAATGTCAGAGTTACATCCTAGGTTTAAGAATTGGAGGGCTGGGTGTGGTGGCTCACGCCTGTAATCCAAGCACTTTGGAGGCCAAGGCTGGCAGATCACCTGAGGTCAGGAGTTCAAGACCAGCCTGACCAACATGGTGAAACCTCGTCTTTAAAAAAAAAAGAAAAAAAAAAAAAAAGAATTGGAACCAGGGGCTGGGCGTGGTGGCTCATGCCTGTAATCCCAGCACTTTGGGAGGCCGAGGCAGGCGGATCACAAGGTCAAGAGATCGAGACCATCCTGGCCAACATATTGAAACCCCATCTCTACTAAAACTACAAAAATTAGCCGGGTGTGGTGGCACTCACCTGTGGTCCCAGCTACTTGGGAGGCTGAGGTGGAAGAATCACTTGAACCCAGGAGGCATAGGTTGCAGTGAGCCAAGATCATGCCACTGAAGCACTCCAGCCTGGCGACAGAGCTACACTCTCTCTCCAAAAAAAAAAAAGAATTGGAACCAATCCTGTCTCTAACTCTTAATCAAGGATTTTGTTACTTCACTAAGATCAAGTAAACTGAATTCCATGGATTCTGAATGGACCTTTAAAGCAAGATGTTGTCAGAAGCCTAAAAGCACAGAGTTGAGACTTCATTAAGAGTACAACACACGTTAAATAACTGACAAAAACAAATCTTTGCCTCCTAATAAATGTGAGTGTGGCAGAACTAAGTCTGAGACCTGCTCATTGTAAAACCAGAGTAAAATTTTACCACATAATGGTGTTGGTGTAACATTATTAACAACAATAGCAGTAGACACATATTACTATGTGACAGGCACTCTCCCAACTGCATGGCATATAATAATTCATTTAAGGCTCACAAAACCTTATAAAATAGCCATTATCAATCCCCACTTTGCAGAAGGTTAAGTAACTCAAGATAGAGAGGGAAGAAATCAATAGCTCTCACCATCTTCTAACTATCGCAGGCCCTGATCACCATCAACAAAAACTACCCACGTTCCAAGTGGCTTAGATCCATGAAGCACTGAGTGCAATGCTTTACATTCCTAGTAAGTGGCTCAACAAATGTTATTGTTATGCATATTAACTTTATAACCTAGAACGTATTTAGTCTCAGTGTCTCAACTTTCAAAATGACTACTACTGACATCAAAGAAATATGAAACTAAAGCTAAATTTAAGAAAGATGTAAAATACAGATGATATATAAATGCCTATTTTATTTAACCTTAATCACATAGGAATGAGGGACAGCATTAGCACAGGTAACATAACAGGACACTATCGATAATCAAGGACTTTCCAGTGGTAACATCAGCCTGAAATAGGGCCAGTCCAACAGAATACAATACAGAAACCATCAAATTTGGCAAAGACAAAAAGCAAAACAGAAAAACAAAAAGAATAGATAAATGACCCCCCTCCCGCCCCCAAGCTCACGAGTGACTAATAAGATGCAACAAGAAGGGCGTTTGGTACCACAGAATGTATCCTTGCAAAATTTTAAAAGCTTATGTATCACTGTATTTATTTGGGTATAGTTCTCTAATTCTGGACTCTCAGAAACACTACGACTTAGAAGCTGTTTACTGTCTACTTAACTTTTTTTAAAGCCAACTTTCCTCATTTATAAAATTAAACAGGTAGACCATATCTCTAAGATCCCTCTCCTCTGAAACATGATATGTGTAATGATTTTACTTCATTTAAAGAGGAAGCTGAATTTACTATCAGCTATAATAATCAACTACTGTAATAGGTTTGAAGTAATTTAAGACAATAGGGTAAAACAGTATTCCCGAAATAATTGAGAAACATATGAAATAATTGAGATTATTATTGCCAAATACTACTCGAAAATTCCATATATTGGCCAAAGTCAGGAAAAGAGGATTTTTTCACCTCACTCATGAAATAGTTTTGTTTCTAAATATAGTCACATGTCACTTAATGATGAGGATACATTCGAGAATTGCATTATTAGGCAATTTATTTGTCATGTGAATATTATGGAGTATACATACACAAATCTAAATGGTGTAGCCTACTACTCACCCAGACAATATGGTATAGTCTATTGCTCCTAGGCTACAAACCTGTATAGCATGTTACTGTACCAAATACTGTATGCAACCATAACACAATGGTAAGGATATGTGCATTTAAATATAGAGAACATATGGTAAAAATCTTCATGGGACTACAATCATACATGCAGTCCATCACTGAACAAAGAAAGCATCCTTACACAGTTCATGACTGTATGTATGTATGTACGTATGTATGTATGTATGTATCTATCTATCTATCTATCTATATGGTATTTTTTTAAAGTTTCCAGCTGGGTGAAAGTTGCTCAGGCCTGTAATCCCAGGACATTGGGAGGCTGAGGTAGGAAGATCACTTGAGGCCAGGAGTTCAAGACCAGCCTGGGCAACATAGGAAGATCCTCTCTCTACAAAAAATTTAAAAATTACCCTGGCATGGTGGTTTATGCCTTTAGTCCCAGCTACTCAGGAGGCTGGGGAAGGAGGATTACTTGAGTTCAGGAGCGTAGTTGAAGCTGCAGTGAGCTATGATCATGCCACTGCACGCCAGGACAGGAGACAAAAGGAGACCCTGTCTCAATTAAAAAAAAAAAAGTTGCTACCAAAAAACCCCAATGAGGTTAAAAGACACCTCAGATAATCACCATGAACAATTATTAGCCTTTTATCTATTTCTTTTTAATATAAATTTCCTTATGCATACACATCACAAAAAATGAACAACGGTTTCATGTTAAACACTATCCATGCATTTAAGGTCGCAGAGCCAACCACCATTCTAAAGAAAGGCATGGAACATTTCAGCAGCAAAACAATGCAATAAGAAAGGGAACAATATTTGCTAAAAGTGAAAACTACTTGAATTATGCATTAGGTTACTCTTTTTCTTTTTTTTAAGTAGGCAAATGCGTCCATGTTATTCCTTATTTTCACTGGTTCAAAAACAGTACTGCCAACATCATCTTCCCTCAACAGGCCAGACTTCTTAACATGCACCAACTGAGAAGCTAAATCCCAAGCCTTCATTTCAGCGGTTACAAAGATGGTCAACGAATTAGCTGAAGAATTGCCTTACCACTATGATCCAGGACAAAGTCATCTTGGGCATAACGGAATTTTTCTGGTCCACATGCAATAAAAACATCGTCATCACCAAAAAAGTCTTGCAGACAAGTAACCTGAGAACAAAAATCATGTCCAAGAAATAAATTAGAAACATTAGAAGTGAAATGAAAAGTAAGCAAAATTAAATGAAAGTTTAAGCCTCAGCTATAGTACTGAGGCGGAAGAGAAAGCTATGTAATATACCACGTTTCTAAGCACTTTACCCTCACAATGTACTTTCACACATTCTCTCGACCTCAGAACAACAGACTGAAGGAGTCATGACATGCATCAATATTCCTGTTTGACAGGTGAAGTCAAGGACGTACATGCAATGGTAGGTGGTTTTCCCCCCAGGTTCCCCACAGAGGGGTGGCAAAGCTGGCATTCATGAAGACTTCTGCTCTCAGTTTAGTGTTCTTTTCCATACTGCCCTTCTTCTCTCTCCTAACAACTCTGCTTCCCACTGTGTGAGCACAGGCATGACTTCTCTGTACCTCTGCTACCATACCCAGGATTGTTTCAAAGATTAATATATAAAAACTGCTTGGAAGAATGCCTAGCCTGTGAGTGCTCAATGTGTTAATGCTCAGCCCATCACCCCTTCCACCATCGTTATCAAGATCAAAGGAAGATCTGCCATGAAGCTAATGAGGCTTAAGCTTCAGGGATCTTCCAAGGCCTTGTATCTGAATATGTGGTCTCAATTTCACATTCTTTGGTTTTTTTTTTTTTTTTTTTTTTGAGACCGAGTTTCGCTCTTGTTACCCAGGCTGGAGTGCAATGGCGCAATCTCGGCTCACTGCAACCTCCGCCTCCTGGGTTCAGGCAATTCTCCTGCCTCAGCCTCCCGAGTAGCTGGGATTACAGGCACACGCCACCATACCCAGCTAATTTTTTGTATATTTAGTAGAGACGGGGGTTTCACCATGTTGACCAGGATGGTCTCGATCTCTTGACCTCGTGATCCACCCGCCTCGGCCTCCCAAAGTGCTGGGATTACAGGCTTGAGCCACCGCGCTTGTTCTGTCACCAGGCTGGAGAGCAGTGGTACAATCTCAGCTCACTGCAACCTCCACCTCCTGGGTTCAAATGATTCTCCTGCCTCAGCCTCCCCAGTAGCTGGGACTAAGGTGCATGCCACCATGCCCAGATAATTTTTGTATTTTTAGTAGAGATGGGGTTTCACCATGTTGGCCAGGAGGGTCTTGATCTCCTGACCTTATGATCCACCTACCTCGGTCTCCCAAAGTATTGGGATTATAGGCGTGAGCCACCGTGCCTGGCCCCATTTCTCATTTTTTCAAAAAGCCCACCCCCTTCTATACTGCATCCGTTTCAGCTCCATAGAACCTGGATCTATCCCAGGGAGCACATTCATGCATTTATCCCAGTGGTGACCAGAAGAACCATTTTCTAGGAGTTTGGAGACAGATAGGCTCTATTTTTTTTTACCAGTTTTTCAATGGGATATGTGATAAGATTTCTTTTTCAGAAATAATTTATTTCCAATAAAGTTAGGGAAAAGCAAACATTGCTCTGGTACTTGGACAGGCTGAGAAATCTCAATATTCCTTAAGTTTTCTTAGTCACTATTTAGCTTTTTATTGGGGAAAAAATAGGTCTCACTACAGAGCTAAGAAACAATGCTCCAGAGAGAGGAAAGTAAACTAGATACAATGTAGATGGCTCAAGTCATAGTACTTAAGTGACCCAAATGACATGCCTTTTTGCAATTCCAAAAAGTTGACTGTACACACAGTAAGTGGAACAGGCACAGAGACTGCCTGATTGTTCCGGTTCTCTTCAAGCAAGATGTATGTGGCTTCTTTATCTCACTGAAACGGCTCTGGCTAGTGTCGGGGGCCTTTAAGAATTGCATTTGTCTTTGTTCCTGCTCTATCCTTGTTAGCATTAGCACACGCCCCTTCACCTATGCTAGAATTCAGGGAGTCATGCTTTCTCCTTTCCTCATCAACCACTCACATTTAGGCCTTTTTACTTCTTACATGGTTTGCAAGCGTCTCTATTTATACTCCTTGGTTCCTTCTCTCTTACCTGGCCTCTTGACATTGCCCTGTAACAGGTTTATCGATTCCTGGTATCTGTCATTCCCATCTACACAGGTGTCAATATATTAAGTCTCTCACAGGAATGACTGGGTGACCACATATCACTCAGCCCTCAATGGCTTCATGAGAAGCTAATGCTCCTTCTAAGGGCGCATTCAACTGACCCTCAACTTTGTCTTTGCCATTTCTTCTGTTCACGCCACAGCCACGTCAAGATGACTTTGGGTTGCCTGCCCACACAGTGCTAGTGGGTTGTTTGTTTGTTCCTTCTGAGACAGGGTCTTGCTCTGTCACCCAGGTTGGAGGGCAATGGCACAATCTTGGCTCACTGCAGCCTTAACCTCCTGGGCTTAAGTGATCCTCCCACCTCAACCTACTGAGTAGCTGGGACCATAGGTGTATGCCACCATGCCTGGCTAAATCTTTCTCTTTCTCTCTTTCTCTTTCTCTTCTCTCTTTTCTCTTCTCCTCTCTCTCTCTCTCTCTCTCTCCTCTCCTCTTCCCTCCCTCCCACTCTCTCTCTTCTCTTCCCACCCTCCTCTTCCCTTCTCTTCTCGTCTCTTCCCTCCCTCCCTCTCTCTTCTCTTCTCTTCCTCCCTCCCTCCCTCCCTCCCTCCTCCCTCCTCTCTCTCTCTCTCTCTCTGCAGGCAAGTAGAGATTGGATCTCTGTATGTTGCCCAGGCTGGTCTCTAACTCCTGGCCCCACGTGATCCTCCCATCTTGGTCTCCCAAACTACTATGTTGTATTGGTTTTTTAAAAGCTTTTACTGAGCTGTAACTCACACACCACACAATTGACCCATTTAAGGTACACGATTCAACGTCTTTTAATATATTCAGAGTTATGCAACTATCACTGCAATTTGCTTTGGAATATTTTCATCATCCCCAAAAGAAACACCACACCCATTCACAGTCACTCCCCATGAAGGGCACCCATATTCTACTTTCTAGCTCAGCAGATTTGTAAATTCTAGGCACTTCATGTATATGGAACCATAAGATACTTGATATTTGGTGACTGGCTTCTTTTACTTAGCATGTTTTTAAGGTTTATCCACGTTGTAACATTTATCAGTGGTTCATTCTTTCTGTAGCGGAATAGTCCGTGGTATGGATATACAACATTCTGTTCAATTTTTTCAACAGTTAAGGACATCTGGGCTATTTTTAACTTCAGAGCTGGCTCTTACCACCATTCCTGCCGTTCCTTACACTGTTTCCCAGGCCTTTCTCACAGCTATCTATCCATCCATCTCTCTCTCTCCACGGTCTCAACTCTGTTGCCCAGGCTGGAGTGCAGTAGCATGATCATGGCTTACTGTGCAGCCACAACTTCCTGGGCTCAAGTGATCCTCTCACCTCAGCCTCCTGAGTTGCTGAGACCACAGCCACCACACTTGGCTATTTTTTTTTTTTTAAGAGACAGGATTCCCTATGATGTCCTATAGTTCAAGTTGGTCTCAAAGTCCTGGGCTTAAGCAATATTCCCGTCTTGGCCTCCCAAAGTGTTAGGATTACAGGTGTGAGCCACCACGCCCAGTCTGACCACCCTTTAGTGCCATGACCACCAGGAGGGCTTGGGTGTTCTCTGTTCATCGTTCCCTTGGCTCTAGTAGAGTTCCTGGCTTTAGTGGGTGCTTGAAACATGTTTGCTAAATGAACTGTGGCTCAGTGTGGGCTTGCTCCTATTGGAACTGAGTTCTCAGACACACAGTAACTTCTCTGGGTGAGTGGTACAACAGCTACATTATCCACTGCCCTCACCACCACTTATGTTTAAGACTTCCTAAGTCTAGGCATCGGTCAACCTCTCTGAATTCTCTGTCTATATGGTAAGATGTATTATCTTAATCCCTACAACAATCCCATGAGGTTGATACTATTATCATCCCTCATTTATAAATAAGAAAACAGATCTAAAGAGAGAAACTTGACCAGACACAGGTAACAAATGAAAACCCGGCCACGCAGATGCAGGTCCTCCGCTTCTGCATCTCTGCTTTCAAGATGACAGCATGCTGTTTTACCATCTGAAATCCCACAGGTCACCTTTCTACTTACAGTTCTTACTCATTCTACCTTATTTGTAGTCATTGTCTTGTGTTATAGTTGTCTATTTTATATTTCTGTTTTATTTTGCACATACATATATTCAATAAATATGGAATTTAACCCAGTTTTACTTTTTTGGCCAAGTAAAATGTATCTACTAAAGTTTAATACAATTTTTTTAAAAAGAAAAATTACACTTTGTTGCAATTAATTTAGCATGAATAACTGAATTTTTAAAAATATACCTGAATGAATCTGTTTGAAAAAAAATCAGTTAATGTTTAATTGATTTTATTACAAGGAAATATTTCATCTGGTACTAAATTAGTTGGCATTTGACTAGAATAAATGACAGTAAATAATCAAATTAACTTACTTGTGGAAAAAAAGCATTTAACAAGTCTTAGGAGCATAATATACCAAAGAGGTAATTCTTTTCCCCATAGAGGTTTATTTAGTTTTCAATTGACCTTTTAATGATTTCACCTGTCAGTTTAAGTTTGGATTCCCAAACATAGTGTGTGTAAGATGTCTGCCTCCCTTTGATTCAGGTTCTAGTCATTGAATGCCTATTTGGTTAAGCAGTTAACCAAATTATACAATTTTTTTTTCTTCTTTCTGTCACATTGGCTGGAGTGCAGTGGTGCAATCGTGGCTCACTGCCACTTCCATCTCCCAGGCCCAAGGGATCCTCACATCTCAGCCTCCTGAGTAGCAGGGACTACAGGCGTGCTGCACCACAGCTGGTTAATTTTTGTATTTTTTGTAAAGATGAGGTTTCACTATGTTGCCCAGGCTGGTTTCGAACTCCTGGGCTCAAGCAATCTAATCGCCTCAGCCTCTCAAAGTGTTGGGATTACTAATGTGAGCTGCCATACCTGGCCACAATTTTCAATTAGGTTCTGATATGCCTCAATTCAGTCATTGCTACTCACAAAGAAATAATA